AAGTTGAGCATTTCCAGGTTGGTTTCCATCCTCCCCCCGCCCCCCACCCTGTAAGAAATCTGGCCATTTTGCTCATTATTTTCTTAGGAAGGAAATAACTGTCAGAAAGTATATAAGAATCTCAGGACATTACAAAATCCTTTCTAGATAGATAACTACCATGTGGTATGGTTTATGCGAGTGTCTCTTTTATTTTGTACTATTCTTGATGTTTGACATGTTCTCTCTCTACATTTAACGTTTTCTAGTTTAACTCAGGTGAGGTCCAGTCCACACTGATCTAACTTCTATAGCAGTTACTATCTGTCCTACTTTGGTAGTTTTTATATGCTCCTGAGTTATTATTACTATTTTTATATGTATTTGTCTTTCTCTCTAACTAGACTATACATTTCTTTAGGGCAGTGCAGATACAGCACAATGCACAGGTCCTCAAATAAGTAGTTAATGGTACTATCTGATTTATGTGAATAATTTGAAAAATGGGTAGAAGTTTTTGTTGGGTATAGTGTGGCTTTAACTAATTCCTTACAAGTCTATCCATAAAATAAGAAACCAAGCAGATCTTAATGGCATTGGAGAGATGGTAAGTGGGATTTATAGGGAGAGTTGTTCATGATGTTCAAGACTTCATTTTATTTATAGAAATAGAATCTGCATCTAATTCTAAACTTCGGTAAATTTTATGTGAGTAGTGCTAATTAGTTAACCACAGAGGTTTGATGTTGTAATGTAACACACACTGTTCAGCTTAATACAGTAAATTGTTGTCTTCCTCCAGGGTACTTTACTGTATATAACGGCACAAATGCTATTTATAAATAACCACATGGACAGAGGACCTACACAGAGAAGCTGTTCTCTAATCAGAAAGGAATTTATTGGGTGGTCTTCCACAAGTACAAAATGTGTTTTCTGTGTTTTCCTGTATTTATACATTTGGATCAGAATAATGTCGAGGGGCTGACTACTTGAGAAAGGCTGAGATAAATCAGTGTTCATCTGGATTCAAGAGTGACTGTTAAGTGCTGTACAAGTCTCTGTGGAATGTTACCAGACAGATTTCTGGGGTGGTAATAACTCTGAATGGTCTGGGATGTGGAATTCTGTGTTCAAAGAGGATCTTTAAGAAATTTGTATTTTGATTATAGAGTTCCATTGTGGTATTTTGTCTTTTATTTTGTGAGAATAGATAGTCTCTGATCCTAGGTAAATTTGTAAGATAGCAAAAAGTTTGTTTGGGGTGGTTCCCTCAGTCTCTTACTCTTTGCCTTCCCTAGTCACATTTGCCCTTTCTCTCTTTTCATAGGAAATACTTTGATACTAAGGGATAAATAAAGTTATGGAGTAAAATGTTACCCCTGACAGAATTTTCATTTTTGTCAGGGACCAAAGGCTTAAGCAAAGGCATATTCAGATGGAGGAAATATTTGGGGAGATAGCAAGTCTTTTGTGTCTGATAGATTGAATTGTTGGTCACAATTCTTAATTTCTCTGTAGTAACATATTATAGCTTTATATCTGCCCCATCTTCATGGTGGTGGAATGTATTTCTTCACCCCTTAACTTTGGATTTGGCTGTGTGACTTGCTTTGGCAATGGGATGTTAGCAGATGTGGTAAGAGGGTAGGATTAAAATGCTTCTGCTTATTTGCACTTGGTGCTCTTGTCCTGTCATCACTGTAAGAAGAATATCCCTGGGTAGTAGTCACTGCCCTCCCCAACTTGGCTCAGAATGGAACATTTAAAGTAGTGTCATCCTAAACAGCTGATAAATCCATGAGTGTGAGGGTGAGTGATTATTGTTAAGCTATTGAGTTTTGGGGTGGTTTCTTATGCAGCATTATTGGCAATAACTGATAGTCTTTGCATCTTTAAAATTTGTTTCATTAAGCAGTTAATGGATAATACTTTTTCTTATTATAGGAATAGGCAACCTCCTTTTTTCCTACTTGCAATTTTAATTAGGGTTAAAGTTCAGGTGACAGTCGATGTACTCCTATAGATTCCCTTAGAGCAGCCTGACGTTCACTCCTACTTTCGCTGTTATTCTGAGTAGGCACAAAAATTATTTTGGTTTCATTCCCATATATTCTCCTTTCTGTATTATAGGTTCTAATGGTTTAGCTAGTGCTCCGGAAGGTGCCCTGGGCAGGTGGGGAAGGTTAAGATGACCTAACTCCAATTTTTCCTGACTCTTGTGTCAGGCTGAGCAGCTTCATTTTTATGTAGATATTTGATTTTCGTGTAAGATTTTGTTAGGAAGAGTATTTTTTTTTAGGAAATTGAATACTGTTGCTATAAACACACTTGTACATTCGTACCATGGAATAATATTCATCAATATAAAGGAATGAACTATTGATACAACAACCTGGATGGATCTCAGGGGAATTATGCTGAGTGAAAAAAACTAATCTCAAAAGGTTACATACTGTATGGTTCTATTTAGGTAATATTTTTGAAACAACAAACTTATAGAGATGTAGAACAGCTTAGTGACGGCCAGGGTTTAGGGATGGGGGTGTATGTGGAGGTTGTGTGTGGCTCTAATGGGGTAGCATGAGAGAGCCTCTTGGTGATGGAACAGGTTTTTGTTTTTTTTTTTTTAAGGCTTTATTTATTTGAGGGGCGCCTGGGTGGCTCAGTCGTTAAGCGTTTGCCTTCAGCTCAGGTCATGGTCCCAGGGTCCTGGGATCGAGCCCCGCATCGGGCTCCCTGCTCAGTGGAGAGCCTGCTTCTCCCGCTCCCTCTGCCTCTTCCCCTGCTTGTGTGCTCTCTCTCACTGGGTCTCTCTCTGTCAAATAAATAAAATCTTTAAAAAAAAAAAAGATTTTATTTATTTGAGACAGAGAGAGAGCATGAGCCAGGGGAGGGGCAAAAGGAGAGGGAGGGGGTTCTCAAGCAAACACCATGCTGAGCACAGAGCCTGACCTGGGGCTCGATCTCCTGATCCTGAAATCATGACCTGAGCTGAAATTGAGAGTTGGACACTTAACTGACTGAGCCACCCAGATGCCCCAGTGATGAAATAGTTCTTGATTGTGGTGATGATCACATGAAACTATCCAGGTGATAAAATTGTGCACACATGTGAATGCGTTCGCACACATACACACACCCACACACCCACAAATGCTTGTAAAACTTATAAAATCTGAATAATAAGTTCTGTGGGTTTGTGTCAGTATCAGTTTCCCAGTTTTGATCCTATACTATAATTATGTAAGATTACCGTGGTAGGAAGCTGGATGAAAAATGCACAGGATCTCCCTGTACTTTTTTTTTTTTTTTTGACTACTTCCTGTGAGTATATAATTATTTCAGAATTAAAAGTTAAAGATCAAAGGCAGTGCCATGATCAGAGCTAATATTAGAGGAAAAGAAAGAATTCTTTGCTGTTATCAAGTGATTTATTTGAAAGAAATGAGTGAATATTGACATTTTATTGTGCAATTTATTCATCTTTGATAATCTGAGATGTTCCTTAGAGAAAAGTGAAAGTGACTAAAGAGTGTGTATGTGTGGGGCGCCTGGGTGGCTCAGTTGGTTAAGCGACTGCCTTCGGCTCAGGTCATGATCCCAGGGTCCTGGGATCGAGGCCCACATCGGCTCCTGGCTCAGCAGGGAGCCTGCTTCTCCCTCTCCCTCTGCCTCTCCCCCTGCTCGTGCTCGCTCTCTCTCTTTCTGTATCTCTGTGTCTCAAATGAATAAATAAAATCTTAAAAAAAAAAGAAATTGCAGCTAAGGTATAATGGCAAAGTCTTCATATTTAATCATGTGTCTTTGTGGGGAAAATCCAAGATTTATTGAGTTTTTCATTGCTCTTATAATTGAATTTCCATTCTCTGTCAAAATGCTTGATATCATCTGTAGAGCAAAAATAAATTTGCAGCTAAAAATGATGACCATTAGAACTTAATTTAGGTTCATTCTTCTTGGCTCAGCTTATTTCATATATTGTTCAGTTAAAGTGTTTAGAATTAAAACCATTATTCAGATTTTTCAGGTTTGCATGTAATTGCAATTGAAAATAATCTTTACAATGTTGAGTTTTAGAGAAAGAATGTTTCTTCTGAAAAAAGCCTGTAAGCCTGTTAAATTCTAACATGAGTTTATTAGAATCATAAGCAAGAGTGAATGTGAAAGACCCTAATTCCTGATTGCTTAATCTTCACTAGTCTCTTTAGATGTGGGCAAAAATGAAGTCATGGTATAAGAAGGACTCCCCCTCTCACCACCCAGTTGTGCTTTTATTAATTAGTAAATTAGGAAATAGAAGCATAGTTTAGATAAAAGCCTAACAGAGTCATAAGAGGCCATCAAGACAGTCATACAAGATTTTGTATTGTGTAAAATTATTTTTATTACTCAGTTTTTTAAACTGTCCTAGGACATATATTTGTAAAAGATAAATATAGTTCTATCTATAACTGCTTATTAGTAGTAATAAAAGGGAGGGAAAATGTCTGCCTGTGGTAATATTTCAGGATGATTATGTGAATGGTAGCTGAGAACTGAACTTTGGTATAAAGAAAGACACCAGGGGCGCCTGGGTGGCTCAGTTGGTTAAGCGTCTGCCTTCTGCTCAGGTCATGATCCCAGGGGCCTGGGATCGAGTCCCGTATCGGGCTCCCTGCTCCGCGGGAATCCTGCTTCTCCCTCTCCCACTCCCCCTGCTTGTGTTCCCTCTCTGCTGTGTCTAAAGAAAGAAAGATAACAGAGGGGCACCTGGGTGGCTCAGTTGGTTAAGCAGCTGCCTTTGGCTCAGGTCATGATCTTGGGGTCCTAGGATTGAGCCCCGCATCGGGCTCTGCACTCAGTGGGGAGTTTGTTACTCCCTCCCCCTCTGCCGCTCCTCCCCGCTAGAGCTCACTTGCTCGCACTCTCTCTCCCCCTCTCTCTCTCTTGTTCGCTCAAATAAATAAAATCTTAAAAAAAAAAAGACACTAGAAATGTGAAGTTTTTGGTATAAAAAAGCAATTTAATTTGAATCACTGGAAAATTTCAATTATTAAATTTTAACAGTTATGAAAATAATGGCAGAATGCATTTTCGTAAAATACTAAGTACATGTAGAAAAATATTGCAAGTTCTCTTGACACTGCCTCTTGATCCCTACTTTTGTCTCCTATGATGTAACCAACTGTCATCAGTCTGGTGACTTTCTGGCTTTCTCATAGTCTTTCATTTTTTAACTTTGTTGGACTTTGAGGCCTCTTTACTTCATTCCCATTTTTTTGTAACTTTGCAAATACTGCTGTTACTTTTAGGTATTAATCAAGAAGAATTATGACCGTACCAAACGTCAGCGTCGTAGAAACTGGAAACTGAAAGAGCTTGCAAGAGATAAAGAAAACATGGATACAGATGATGAAAGGTCCTACTTTAAACCTTATATATTGTCTCAAAGGAAATCCTTATAATAAATCTGTATAGTTTTTATATATAGTTATCACACGATTGTTGCATTCAGTATTAGTTTTGTATTCTTATTGTGTTAATTGTATCAGTGTAAGAGGGTGTTGTGTTAATTAAATCAGTATAAGGGGATATAATGATATTATATATGTATGTATATATAATATATATATATTAATATTATTATTTCCTGGGTTTTGGCCTGAGAATTGCAGCATTATTGTAAACAGTGCATTTGAAAAGCTAAAATAAGTACTTTGTGGATATCACAAATAGCAAGTCAGTACTTATGACTTAGGATAAAAAGAAAAGAGCCCGTTGATATCAAATATGCTATTTTTCAAACAACTTAAGGAGAAATGAAGATGTTGTGTTCTAGAAAAGTATATTGGACAATTCAGAAGTGGCCTTAATGATGGTGAAGACACTGATATCTAAAAAAATGAAGAGTTTAAATAAAATTATGTCATGAAATGTGAGTGGGAAATAGTAATACTTCCAAAATACAATCTCATAAGGTAATTTAAAATAAGTATTTACAAATATATAATGTTAAATTAATTAGATATTGTATGTACATATTTATTTCAACTATGGTCTTAAAAGTGTATGTATTTTAACTTGGCCACAAGACTTTGGGGGGGGGGATGGTAAAGTAGGAGGACGTTTTCTCGTCTTATATTTAATATTACCTTATATTCAAGTATGTATTTTTTTAATCATGTAATTTTGAAAGAAAAGATTTTTTTTAACTTGTCAGAGTATTTAACATCCATATTTGGCCTTCAGATATTATTTTTAAAGATTTTAATACTTGGAACACATTTATCTTATAGTGCTGAAAATGAAGAAAACATAACTTCATACTTTGTTGGTAAAGATCAAATAGTTAAATGTTTCTTTCTCTTTTTGTAGGCAATACCAAGATTTCCTTGAAGATCTTGAAGAAGATGAGGCAATTAGGAAAAATGTAAACATTTATAGAGGTTAGTGTTTTAGGAGTGTTTAAGTTGTATCTTTTGCTTTTGTACAGATATATTACCCCAGTATAAGTATTTTGGTATCTTAAACTTTCATTCCATTAATGACTTCTGTGTTTGTTTTTAAAACTTGACTAAACATTTACAAAAAATAAAAATACTTGCAGAACAGTAAGACTTATTGAAATGTTGTTTTACCACATTTGATATTATTTGTATCTTGCTATAATCCCTCAAGTTCCTGATTCTTACACTAATGGATATTTATTCATACATTTATGTAGTTCATTCATTTAGTGACTATAAATGCCTGCTCTAGATAGGATACAAGAACTGCAGATATAATATGGTTAAATAATAGTAATGATGGTGGGGGGAGGCATTTTGCATATTTCCATATTTGTATTTATTTGAAATCCTCCTTGTATTTTTTTTTTTTTTTAGATTCAACCATTCCTGTGGAAAGTGACACAGATGATGAAGGAGCCCCTCGAATTAGTCTGGCTGAGATGCTTGAAGACCTCCACATTTCTCAAGATGCTCCTGGTGAAGAAGCTGAATCGATGATGACACAGTGAGATTGTGTTGTAGATGATTTCCATGTCTGTAGACTCAGGATGTTGGATGAAATAACTTTCATTGTCTATTCCGCCTATGCTTCCATATTGAGAAAGGAGAAATTTAGTTTTAAACTTGAATAAATGGGACTATTTTGATTGCTCATTCAAAGCACTGAACGAGATTGATAGCTTTGAAGTTTTTGGATAAAAGATTATGAAGAATGTAATTATTAATGATATTTAGGCCATTTTATGTGTGGAATTTTTTAAGTTTGCCTTTTTAGGATACCCTAGTATTTTTGCATACTGTAGCGCCAGATTTGAAATCTCAAAAGTTGTGATGCCTTGGAGGTTACCTAAATCTTCAAGTATGAAACAAGCTTTTACATTTCTTTTTGCATTGATGGCTTTAGTAAAAGAGCATATGAAGAATCATTTTTATATGAACTTGTTAATGCACTTTGATCCACTTTAGATCATTTTTATGTCATTGGGATAGGTAAGTTGGGGTTCAGTTTATTACTGGACATTCAGGGAGAAGTTAATCTATTTTATTCATAATATTAACATCTTCAAAAGCTTAAATTGGGGTTATCTTAATTTTTATTGCAGAAGAAAATATATTTAAAGTATTTGTGGATTTGTAGCAAACATAGATTATTTAAGGGTTAACTAACAATTTGTACTTTTGTTATTTTTGCTCATGCCAGCAGCTTAGACCAGTAGCTTGCTTGTGTCATAAAAATGTCTTCCTATCACTTCAAGCATTTTTGCTTTTGAAATTTTGGTTTACAATTTGAGAAGGAATTTTCTTTATATAAGTTTCTGTCATTGAATATATCACCATCAAAAAGAATATTAAGATCTAGCACATAGATGATGAAATAATAAAAATGATCTTTATGCTTTATAAAACCATATGTCAGACTTGAAAAAGGAATGCCTTCTACATCCTTGAATGAAAAGCATTGGCTTGGGCGCCTGGGTGGCTCAGTTGGTTAAGCGACTGCCTTCGGCTCAGGTCATGATCCTGGAGTCCCTGGATCGAGTCCTGCATCGGCCTCCCTGCTC